CCAGAAGTTCGCACATTTCTTATAGCAACCAATTGCAAGGGTTGATTGTTCTAGAGCGGCAGGCCCGGACCAGGAGGAGTAACAGGTCCATCGGAACCTTTTGCTGAAGAAGCCGCTGCTTTCACTCGTCGTCTGGTACTACAACATGAAGTCGAAATAGAGGTTGAAGGATTGGACAAGATGGGAAACTTCATCGGATATCTGTTCCTTACACCTGAAGGAGGCGGCAAGCCACAGAACCTCTCTGAGGTGCTTCTTGAGCAGGGCCTCGCTACGTTGCATTTCACTGCGGAAAGGAGTGCACACTACAACCAGCTGGCGGCAGCGGAACAACGTGCAAAGGCCGCTTTGTAAGTTGTTCTTCCTTCCTCTATATCCACACTTTTCTCCCTCTATTGTGTTGTGTTAAGGAGAAATATCTGGCAAAACTATAAGGAGGAAGAAGTTGTACCTGATGAGGTGATTACCCAACAGAACGACACGGCCGAAAGACGAGTTCAGTATAAGAAAGTAGCTGTCACAGATGTCTCGAAGGTATGCTTCTTGAATTTATCGATTTGAAAGGAATCGGATGGGTCATTTGTTATCTTAAAACAACGGGATTAAGTATTTCAGTGAAAAATCTTGTCTCAGTCGACTTTTCATGCTTGATTTTTGAGGGTACCCTGAACTTTGCTGCACAACTCGTTGAGGACGGACCGAAACTCGAGAAGATGACTGCGGACTTCCGTGAATATCTTCGCCAGCACCCACCTATGACTGGAGCATTCAACCCCAGGGTAAAGTGAAATTACTTTTCGTAATCAACTTTCCTTTAGTATTTTACAGTTGCAGCTGTTTGTTTGGTTTTTGAGCACTTCTCAATTATCACTTCAAAAAATAGTATTACCTGGAGTACAAATGATTTAGCGCGGTGACTTATGTGCTGCACCGTTTTCTGTTGATGGTTTGTGGTATCGTGCTAAAGTGGAAAGCGTTAGATCTGGTCAGGCAGAGGTTCTTTTCGTGGATTATGGAAATGTAAGCACTGGTTTTCGGGCTTTCCAATGATTCTCGATGAAATCTCGATGGTATTGCTTTAGCGAGAAACAGTACCAGCTACTTCTTTGGCTCAGCTTCCTCCAGGTTTTGCTTCTTTCCCACCAGGAGCGAAAGAATACGGACTTGCCTTGGTGGCGATACCGAATGATAAGGTTTCCTACACTTTTTTCGTAGTGGAACTGATATAACATTTTTCGGTTTTCCAGGAATATGGGTTGCAGTGCGAAGATGCACTGCAACAGTTGCTGTTCTCTGTTCCCACTGCCGAAATCAATATTGAATACAAAGTTGGCTCAACTGAATACTGCCAGGTAGATACCAGCTTTTAATGACGATATTCCGCTTACTCGAAAATGATCTTTATTCTGGTGCTTTAGGTGATGATTGAGTGTGCTGGAAAGAAACTTGACGTGGGCAAAGCTCTAATCGAAGATGGTTACGCGTTGGTTGAAAAGAGGAAGGAAAAGAGACTTCAATCAATGGTGATTTCTTTTCCTGGACGCTTACTCTTACAATTAGTTACCAAGTCTTTTTTTTTTTTTGATGAATTCAAGCTTTCACCTATTGCCTTGTCCGAAAACTACCGATTTGCAGTTGAATGAGTACGAGCAAGCTGAGCAGAAAGCACGTCGCGAGCGCAAGAACATTTGGGAGTTTGGAGATTTTACTGGAAACGACCTCTAGAGTATAAGATTTCTATTAATTACCCAATTTTCCTATTAGATGACGACAGTTTGATGCCCTTATATTTTTGTGTTACTCCGTGGATCATTTCTCAGTCTTCTGCTTGTGATATCGTTTTTGTTTTGTTATTTTCTTCTTCTAGAAATCGCCTAAAAATTTATGGTGATATGACTGTTTTGTATATTGAGAGCTTTGTTCTTCATATAATATGTAAGGGTGTTATCATGGTTAAGGTCCATTACAACAATGGTGGTACTTTCGGGGTCGCAAACTCGTATTCGCTCATGATTGCGTCATTTATTAGGAATACGCATCAGGTTGTTCACCAATTGATGGCGTACTATACTTGTTTTTTGTTTCGTTGTTTGATCCGATGTACTATTTTGAGCCTTTCTAAATATATAACTTATTAATATTTTGATAATTATGAGTTGGAGTTGAACGAATATGCCCCATAGTCGGCATGATATGCGAGTTTAGCTGGCTGAGTCGGTTTGTTATAAATGTTTTGTTACCCTATTACACGAAAGGTACGACTACAGGTTGCCTTTGGTTACCTGGGCCACCTTATCAGTTAGAATCCTGATGTTTTTTTTACGTTCTTATCGGCAGTTCCCTCATGAGGTCCATAGCGCAAAACGATTTGCAGCCAAAATTTCATGCATTATTCAGAACATCCCAAGCCCAATGATCGTCTACCTCTGTGTGGAGTGAGCCTTGCCTTCACTCAGAAGAACGCAACTTCTGAAGGTATGCGACATTTTCGGGTGAACTTTAATCTAAATGTGACCTATATGTGTGAAGAGTGCGCCCACTCAAGAAGGTAGGGACGGGAGGCGAATTAGATCGGGCGGTTGAGCAAGTAATTGTGCCGCTAAATTAAAAAACCTTATATCCCTTCTTCCTCTTTGAGTTGAGCTACCACTTAAAAGATGGTTGGATCAGTAGGATTGGCGTCTCTCTTAACTGTACTACTTACTCGGATCCCTTCACTATACCTAAAACATGTTTGAAAAGTGGTGTCTTTTGGAACTGGTTACAGTAACGGAAGTTCAAAAAACATTTATTTCAATGCA